CATGCATACAAAGACTGACCCTCACACAAAATTTCAGATTTTATAGACCCTCTGAAATTACTATGTACTCTTCAAATATTATTTTCAAAAATTATTTTGTAAAATTATTTTATTAATCATAGACGCTTGGTATATTTTAGTACCACACCGCTACTTTCAAAGGCTTAGCCATACCTTTGTTTTCCAAATGGTGAGGGAATGAAAAATTTCCAGCCGGTAAATTTAATGTCGTTAATTTTTGCCTTTTTATTAAAATCTACATTCAATAGAAAGTCTTTCGTATTGTTATTTATATTTGTGTTAACTTCAACCAATTTAAATACATCCAATAATTCTGCGAGGTAACCTCAACTACATTCAAGTCAAATGTCAGGATTCAAAAAGCCCTGGAATAAAACAAAAATGTTAAAAATGCTTTGCATTTGACTTTATTTTGAGGGAGCCGAAAATATTGAAACATTAGGGTGGAGAAGTTAAAAAATGCATTTCAATAATTTTTCTAAATACAACAAAACATTTTTTGAAAATTATGATTTTTGGTTTAAAATATTTAAAAAATTTTAATTTTTTCTAAAATCCAATTTCCAAATATAATTGACCACATCTAATATTCTCCCTCCTCCCAGAAAACCTCCAATATGTTTTATTCTAATAAATTCTGGCAAAACCCGAAACCGCAGCAATGTGTTTTTAGCGCTCGTGTTTTGCTCCATTAGTTACAGCTACAAAACAAACAATGTTGAATAGAATTTCTGGGTTGTGGTTCGATGTTGTGACGACCATCACTACCAGAATTGTGTCATTTTTTTGGGAAGCAAGGAATTTGAGAGGACATGTGGAATATACATAGGGGAGAGGGGGTTGTGTGTGTGTGAGTGTTGTTTATAGTTAGGTTTGTTGTTTAGTTGTTTTTGTTTACAAAATAATGTTGTTGTTATCACAATGTTGCGGTCACTGTGTGAACAAAATGTGTCGACGCTAATGATTATCTTATTAACTGGAACACGATTATCGAACATGATTGTTTTATTAATTTGTTGGTTAGCGCTTAGAAAGCATCGGGAAGGGGAAGTTGGAAAAGATTGTTCGTATTTAGCTTATAATGATGTTAATATTGTTGTATTGATCAATTTATAATTTTAATTTTTCTTATATTCAATTTTCATTTTAGGTTCCAAAAAACTCTGTTGCGTATGAGTAATGACACGTAAAAGTAATGTAAGTAATAATCATACGTTCTTTATAAGTTAATATTCAATCTGGTATAAAGAATATAGTTGTGCCAACATAGTACGATCGAACGAACTAGGTCCTTATCTAGTTCCATGGACTCCGGTCGTTTGTACGAGTGATATTATGTTCATGAGTGATATAAAATATATGACATTTTTTAAATCACTCATACGTTTAGAAATTGGTGTACTCAACTATGAAGTAGATTGACACAAATTTAATTAAGAATGACGAGTAATTTATTGGCATATTGATGTTAAGACAAAACCGCTGAATATTAAAATTTGGCTTGGTTTTTAATTAAAACGGTACGAATATTACCAAAATGTACTAAATGTTGTTTTATGGAATTAAGTGAATGTTAATAATTGGAGTTTGAGTCACTACTGGTGTATGAGGTTGAGATACAATTGCATTTTGGTATATTTGATCTAAAATATATCTAATGCCTAAGCATGGTATTTAGGTAGGTAAAGCTAGAATTTTGAAATTTGTTGCACAGCCGTGAAACATAGCAGCCCTTCTAAAATTTGAAACTACATTGGTACTGTGTTAACTATTTGCTGAGACATAGTAGTAGTTCAGGTAAAATAGACATAATTAGAGTGGTTAAAATGGCAGAAATTCTCACAAAGCTATTTAAAAATATCCGTCGTTTACATTCCTTCATAAAGATTAGTAGGGTTTAAAAGCAATTATTTGTGATTTATTTTCCTTATTATTATTATTTATTATAAGTGTGAGTTTTTTCGACCTATTTTCCAATATATTTAATAATATGAGTTTTTTTGAGCTTTAGGCCAGTTTTTTATTTTATTTCATTTTTGATCTCCGATATTTCGCAATTGTATAAATTGCATCTTCAGGGGATCTACAAGATAATATAATATTCTTAATATTACTATCACAGCATTGATTAAAAATAGAAACAAACACAATGTTATTACACAAAAATCGCTTACTTGTAAACAATAATCGTCAAGTTAACTTAATAACTACGATAGAATGCACTATCATCGTCGGCTGTTAATATTGCACTGATTTTGTTTACATATTGCACGATCTCTTCTTTTGTGTCAAATGCCTATAGCAATAAGCTGCGTTATCTGTGTCGCTCTTAAAATTTATTCTCTCTGTTGTGTGTAGATTGTTGATGTGTAACATTTCTAATGTGAGTCTTCTGTGGTAATGGTTTTCCGTTTGCAGTATTTTTACTTGTTCAAGGTTTGGCTGATGGTTGCTTGATATACAGTGTTCCGCAAGCGCTGTTTTTTGTGTGTAATTTTGGTTTCTCATTTTTAAATCAGACTTATGGGCTGATAGTCTAGTTTTCAATTTATTTTTTGTGGTACCAACATAATATTTCCCACATTTTTCGTTAGGGTTGCCATCGCATTGTATTTGGTATATCACATTGTGTTTATCAGGATTTTGTATTTTGTCTTTTGTATGGCTAAATAGCTTTTTGAGAGTGTTGTTGTTTTTCTGGGCTATTATATATTTGTTCTTGTCATATAAATTTGAGTTCTGGAATCGTTCTGATAAATTTGGTACGTAAATCATAGATTTATATATCTTTTCATCTTTTTGGGTTTCTCTAGTAGTATTCCGTCGTCCTATTAATCTATTTATTATTCTTATTGGAAAATTGTTGTTTGTTAGAATATCTCGGATTTTGTGTTTGTTCTTGTTATGGAATTTCTCGTCACTAATGCTCATTACTCTATGTACTAAATTTTTTGCAGTGTTTATAATCATTTGCTTGGGATGTTTCGAAAAGAAATTTATAATTCTTCCCGATGCCGTGGGTTTCTGATACCAGTCTAATTCTAATTTGTCCTTCTTTCTATATATTATTGTGTCTAGATATGGTAAACATCCATTCATTTCATCCTCCATGGTGAATTTGATATTGTTGCTGAAACTGTTAAGTATATTCAATGTATCATTGATTGCATCTTCCCCAGTTATCACAAAAAGATCGTCCACGTATTTCGTTAATATTTTGGGTTTTGTTGTCAGTTTTTCCATGCAGGTGTCTAAGAGTTTCTCCATGACTATATCCGCCACAACTGGAGAAGCTGGTGAACCCATTGGCAGTCCTTTCTTTTGTTTATATATCTTGTCGTCGTATTTGAAATATCGGTTGTCTTTAATGCAAAATTTTAGAATACTTAAAAATAGGCCCTTTGTCATATTTGTGTATTCTTTTAGTTCTTCCCACCTTTCGTCGATTATTTGAATACCAAGATCTATCGGTATGCTTGGGAAGAGTGATACTACGTCAAACGAAACCATCCTGTCATTTTCTTTAATCGTCATATTTTTAACTTTGTTTTTGAACGCCATTGAGTCTTGAACGTTATATTTGGAGAATTTGGTAAGATTTTTTAAAATTTTAACCACATATTTGCACAGTTCTTCCGACGGAGAATTGATTGAAGAACAGATCGGGCGTAACGGGAAATCTACCTTGTGGATTTTTGGTAGTCCATACAATCTTGGAGCTGTAGCCACGTCACTTCTGAGTTTTTTCCTTTCCATTGTCGTAATAATGTTGTTTTTGTATAGCTCCTCCACCAGTTCATTATTCTTTTTTATCAAACCTGTTGTTGGATCTTTGTTCACCCGTTGATATGTCATCATATCTGAAATAATACTGTTCATCCTCTGTTTGTAGTCATTAATGTCCATTGCAACCGTAACATTTCCTTTGTCAGCATTTAAAATTAATATATTTTTATTTTGTTTCAAAAAAGTTTTGGTGCGGCCCACTGTGCTGTTGATAAATTTATCTCGTTCACTCTCTTTCATCTTATTCATATGTGTGTCTATCATTGTTGTGAACTTTGTCCTCATCATTTCTTGTTGTTCTTTGTCATTCCATGTTTGTATTACGTCTTCGCCGTCTGCTATTAGTTTAAATAGTGGGAATTGTGATTTTGTTGTTGGAAGTCCAAATTTCTCTCCAAGCGAAAGAAGCCATTTCACGTCATCGGGGAATTGAGTGTTTGTTTTGTTTACAAACCATTTATCATTCTGTTTTATGCCAAGTTGTATCATTTGTTGTTGTTTAAGTTTTTCGAATTTTCTTTTCTGTGTGTTTTTTATTTCGTTCTCCATGTTCGATATTATTTTGCTTTCGTTTTGAGTAACTATGTTTATCTCTTGTTGTGTTAGATTTTCTCCCAAAGTTTTTTCTATATTTTGTTGATCCCTTTGATTGTTCTTTATTTCGTAATGTTTCTGTTTAATTAGTAGATTGAGAATCTTGTTTTGAAAAGTATCAATGTATCCCTTTAATGTATTTTTAATGTGGTATATTTGAGGTGTCTTAAAAATATTGTGAATATTTTTTAAGGCATTTCTAATAAAGTTAGGAATGATGCCGTTGTTACGACATCGAATTAGAAAAGTTAAAGAGCATTTTGTTTTGGCAATCTTCACTTTTGTGTTTTTGTGTTTGTTAATGCTGTGTTTGATGTTGTTTTTATACTTGATGTTTCTGTAGATCATGTTGTTGGTATTCGGCGTGCTCTCCGTGTTATATATTATAAGTGTGAGTTTTTTCGACCTATTTTCCAATATATTTAATAATATGAGTTTTTTTGAGCTTTAGGCCAGTTTTTTATTTTATTTCATTTTTGATCTCCGATATTTCGCAATTGTATAAATTGCATCTTCAGGGGATCTACAAGATAATATAATATTCTTAATATTACTATCACAGCATTGATTAAAAATAGAAACAAACACAATGACATTAATGACTACAAACAGAGGATGAACAGTATTATTTCAGATATGATGACATATCAACGGGTGAACAAAGATCCAACAACAGGTTTGATAAAAAAGAATAATGAACTGGTGGAGGAGCTATACAAAAACAACATTATTACGACAATGGAAAGGAAAAAACTCAGAAGTGACGTGGCTACAGCTCCAAGATTGTATGGACTACCAAAAATCCACAAGGTAGATTTCCCGTTACGCCCGATCTGTTCTTCAATCAATTCTCCGTCGGAAGAACTGTGCAAATATGTGGTTAAAATTTTAAAAAATCTTACCAAATTCTCCAAATATAACGTTCAAGACTCAATGGCGTTCAAAAACAAAGTTAAAAATATGACGATTAAAGAAAATGACAGGATGGTTTCGTTTGACGTAGTATCACTCTTCCCAAGCATACCGATAGATCTTGGTATTCAAATAATCGACGAAAGGTGGGAAGAACTAAAAGAATACACAAATATGACAAAGGGCCTATTTTTAAGTATTCTAAAATTTTGCATTAAAGACAACCGATATTTCAAATACGACGACAAGATATATAAACAAAAGAAAGGACTGCCAATGGGTTCACCAGCTTCTCCAGTTGTGGCGGATATAGTCATGGAGAAACTCTTAGACACCTGCATGGAAAAACTGACAACAAAACCCAAAATATTAACGAAATACGTGGACGATCTTTTTGTGATAACTGGGGAAGATGCAATCAATGATACATTGAATATACTTAACAGTTTCAGCAACAATATCAAATTCACCATGGAGGATGAAATGAATGGATGTTTACCATATCTAGACACAATAATATATAGAAAGAAGGACAAATTAGAATTAGACTGGTATCAGAAACCCACGGCATCGGGAAGAATTATAAATTTCTTTTCGAAACATCCCAAGCAAATGATTATAAACACTGCAAAAAATTTAGTACATAGAGTAATGAGCATTAGTGACGAGAAATTCCATAACAAGAACAAACACAAAATCCGAGATATTCTAACAAACAACAATTTTCCAATAAGAATAATAAATAGATTAATAGGACGACGGAATACTACTAGAGAAACCCAAAAAGATGAAAAGATATATAAATCTATGATTTACGTACCAAATTTATCAGAACGATTCCAGAACTCAAATTTATATGACAAGAACAAATATATAATAGCCCAGAAAAACAACAACACTCTCAAAAAGCTATTTAGCCATACAAAAGACAAAATACAAAATCCTGATAAACACAATGTGATATACCAAATACAATGCGATGGCAACCCTAACGAAAAATGTGGGAAATATTATGTTGGTACCACAAAAAATAAATTGAAAACTAGACTATCAGCCCATAAGTCTGATTTAAAAATGAGAAACCAAAATTACACACAAAAAACAGCGCTTGCGGAACACTGTATATCAAGCAACCATCAGCCAAACCTTGAACAAGTAAAAATACTGCAAACGGAAAACCATTACCACAGAAGACTCACATTAGAAATGTTACACATCAACAATCTACACACAACAGAGAGAATAAATTTTAAGAGCGACACAGATAACGCAGCTTATTGCTATAGGCATTTGACACAAAAGAAGAGATCGTGCAATATGTAAACAAAATCAGTGCAATATTAACAGCCGACGATGATAGTGCATTCTATCGTAGTTATTAAGTTAACTTGACGATTATTGTTTACAAGTAAGCGATTTTTGTGTAATAACATTGTGTTTGTTTCTATTTTTAATCAATGCTGTGATAGTAATATTAAGAATATTATATTATCTTGTAGATCCCCTGAAGATGCAATTTATACAATTGCGAAATATCGGAGATCAAAAATGAAATAAAATAAAAAACTGGCCTAAAGCTCAAAAAAACTCATATTATTATTATTATTTTTTATTTTTTGGGAAATCTTAAAATTCTCTTTAAAATGCCTCATAGTAAATTTTTCTAAGTGTTACCATTTCCGACAGGTTGCGATTTTAGTAGTCATTCATGATGTGAAACTTAGATTGAGTTTCAAAATGCATTATTTAAAATAATATTGATACCGACACACAAATTACTGTACACAAAAAAAAATCAACAAGTAAAAAAATATTGAGTTCGGCCGGGTTGAATTTTTAAAACCCTCCACAAAGACAAAAAAAAAAAAAACATTTTTATATTATATAGTATCTGGATTCAAACGTGTTCCACCTTAAACTAAAAATACCAGTAAGACCGTTTGGATTATACTGTTGAACTTTTCAAAAAACCATAAAGTGGGTGAGGCCGTTGTATAGGGCAATACCAAAACGTGAAACTCTATAGACAATTTTATACTTCATTATCATCAAACAGATCTTCATCAACATCAATACCAAATTTGAAACAATTTCCTGGGTAAATATGACAAGGACTATGAAAATCGTATCGTTATATGTGCGCTATAAGAAAACATGGGTCTGCTGGATCTAGAACCCATTACGAACTACAAACACCAATTTTTGGACAAATCCATGGAAATATGTTCAAAAACTAATCAAAATACCGAATATCGGTAAGTACCGATACACTGTGTCTGCATGAAAACTGGACCTATCCATACTATGTTCCGCCACAGGAGCTACAACCCATTACGAGCTACAAATACAAATTTTTAAACAAATCCGGGGAAATATTTGAAAAAACTAATCAAAACACCGACTATCGTTAAATGGGGATTGTACAAAAACGTGCACCTATACATACAATGTTTCGCCACCGGAGCTAGAACCCATTATGACGATCAGAATACCATTTTTAAGACAAATCTGTGAAAAAGTGTGGCGAAAATCATCAAAAATATCGACTATCGGGAGGTACCATTATATGGCAGCTGTTCCAAAACGTGGACAGTTATACAGGGTGAGATGAAAAAACTGCAACCAACTTCAGACTTTTATCATTTCTAAGCCACTCGTCCGACAGCTGTTAAAATTATTCTAGTGACAGCTCATTATATTGTTTACAAGCGTACAAAAGCATTTTGGTGAGAATTTTCCAGAAAAAAAGTTATTCGTGATGGAATTCAAGCGTGTTAGTGCGATTTCTTTAAATTTGGCTGGAAAACCACAAGTGGCTATCGTTAGAACACTCCAGCATTTAAATGTGAATAGTATTTTGAATCTCGTATCAATGCTCGTTACCGTGATACTGGTAGCCTAGACGTCAAGGACTTGGACGGAAGAAAACAGCAACATCTGCAGAAATGGTTCGAAAAGTAAAGAAGCGACTTGATCGAAACCCGCGTCGTAGTGGCCGAAAAATTGTTCGTGAGCTGAACATATCGCAATATTCCATTCGGCAAATATTGAAAAATGAGCTCGGGTAAAGCCATTGAAATTTAAAAAAAGTGCAAGAACTTACACCGCAACAGAAATAAAATAGACTCAAAAGAGCTAAAGAGTTGCTTCGCTTGGCCAAAAGTGGCTAACTGCCAAATTTGGCTTTCTCCGATGAGAAATTGATCTACCGAATTTTAAGGCTCAACGCCAATTAATGTGGGCTGTATCGTGATTTCAACAGACAGACAGACAGGCATCATTAAATCGATTTAGAATTTTATCCTGATCATGAATATATATACTTTATGGGGTAACATTCCACCCACAATTGCTTTTTTGAAAATATTTTCGTGAAAATTTCTTACATAACGTCTTCGACAATATTACCGACAAAAATTCAGGTAATATTTTTTCTCTAAGAAATTAACCATGTCTAGAGTCAATAAATGGGTATATTAAGTCATATTACTTTAAAACGTTCTAAACTCTCTTAAGATGTTAATATTTGTTAATATATTCTACAAAATTATTAGTCATAAATTTTACTATAGGTCTTCTAATACATCAAAACTCCATATCTTAACATAAAGCCAAAAATCGGTAAAAATAGAGACCTCGTTTTAGAATAATAGTCGTACCTCAACGAGTTTGTTCAAAATGTTTCGATGAAACATAATTTGAAGTCAAAGACAAAAATATTGAAGGTATAATTTCATTGCAAGACGCGAATGAAATAAAATCTATATTATTATTATATATCAAAAAATACATGTATCATTAAAAAAAAACAAAAAACATCTCCTTTGTGTTGGGGCTATTTTATGTTTGATTGGACCAAAAAGTTTGCAACAAACTTGTTATTATAAAAGCAAAATTTTTCAAATAACAATTATTTTTTTAACTACTGCCATAAATTATTGTAATTTCCTAAGCATATTACAGCAAACACAATTTCATTTTAATACGAAAAACTTAATTATTGTAAAAGGACAACAAATATTTGACATTGGCGAAATATTCAAATTTATGTTGGCCATTAAAACAATTAACCAAAGAAAGACGAACATGAAAACATCCTCAAAAAATCACCTCACTCTTAATGGAAATGAACTAATTAACACGAGAACGGAAATTAGCATCCTTTTTGGGCAAAATAACCTAAAGACTCTCCCCATGTATCTCTCTCTCTATTTTCTTCATTGCCCACGATATAATAAGACAAATTACCATCGAAGTCATTACAAAAAAGATTTAATGGTGCGCGAATAGTCGGCAGGCATTCAGCATTCGGCGAACATGCCAACGACTTTCAAAAACATGCAAAACAAATAATTTTCACTTGGCCTTAAACGTAGAGTTGACACGGCCAGCTGAACAGGACGACTTCTAAGGACAATTTATTCGAAATGAAGCGCATTTTTTGGCAGCCGAAAAAAATAAAATGCCATCGAAAGAATGAAAAAAGAAAACGCCAGATGAATGAGCACATTTAAATACTCCTGACATGGACAATATTCTCAGCATCCTGTTTAAATGATACTTTTTTGGGGAAAAAAATCAAAGGAAAAAATGAAATGCATTCTTTTTTTGTTACCAAATTTTTTGTCACCAAACGGAAATTGGCAAAAATCTTATTGTTAAAGTCAATGTTTTTCATGTAGTTTCGGCTGTTTTTTTTATTTTTTTATCCTGCAATTATTTTCTCTTGACTGGTTTGCTGGTGTCCTTTGGTTTGTGTTTTTTTCCTCTGCTTTGCAACAGGAAATGCTGGTCAGTTTCTTCCTTGCAAACAGCTTAAAATATTTGTTCTCACTTCGTTGTTTTTATCACTTCCCGTAGATTCTTCTATTTTTTTTTTTCTTATTGGTGTTGATATCGTTTTCTGTTCAATTGTTATTTTTTCTGCTTTTGTTTGTAAGATTTATGGGTATCACTACTTTTTTCTATTCTATTCTGATGGCTGAGAATTTTATTGATTATAGAGGATTTTAAATAAATTTTCGAATGTAACATTTAAATAATTTATTTGGGGGAACAATTAAAATTGCACCATAAGGAAATGGTGTACGTAAGCTTGAGGGCATCCATTGGAGTATTTAGATGTGTTACTAAAATAAACAAAATATTGTCTTGGACTACTCAAACTGTAGTCGTGAATTTTTATAAATAATTTTTTATGTAAAAAATAAAATCGTGGATTGCTGTGAATATTTTTAACCTTTTTTACCTTGAAGTTATGTACCGTATTGTAGCAAATATTTTTTCACAATTTTTTGACATGATTTTTTTTTAAATTTTGAGGCATTCAATGCAGTTTCCTTCGTTTGAAAATCTCAATATATATTTTTTTATCTCCTGTCTACAATTTTACGGAAGAGGTCAAATTAGCCCCGAAATTCAATAGTTATCTGGTTAACTATTGAATTTCGGCCATTAAATCGAAGCTGGATCTGGTAATATGACTCATAAATATTTTTTTTTATTTCTGCTATGTACTTTCATAAAATGCTTGGTAAACGTATTTTATCAGAGCAACAATCGTTGATTTTTTTTGAAGTTTTTTTATGAGCTATCATACCTAAAATCAAGAAGTTTTCCTGGACATCATTACTGCAATTGTGGATTTGTGAGAATTTAGTAAAATTATTCTATACCCTCAGTCATATGGCTACAGAGGTTATACATCATTTGATACAACCAAAATGTACCTCTTCGAAATAATGGCTTTAGATCCTAGGTCTCTTTGGATTAAATCCATTTTAAGACATTTGAAGTTGATTTAGGGTTGTCCGTCCGTCTGTATGTCTGGCTGGTGCGCACAATAACTCTCGAAGGGAGTTTCATCCCAATATCATTGTTAAACTTAGATCGAATTCGGAGATAGGCAACAACGGACCATTCCTTCTGGTACCTTCCCCACAAAATGTCCAAAGCATCATTCGATTTCGTTCGAACTTTGCAAGTTCCAATATATTTGTCAGTACTTGGTCAGGTGCGAAAATTGAAAATATCGACCCATTTCATAAGTTTCTCCCACAAAAAGGGTCAACATTTCAATAATTATAACTCTTTAAAATGTGAAATAAGAGTCCGGCTGTCTTCAAATTTCGCACATGTCGATATACAGGGTGAAATGCAACCAACTTCAGACTCCTGTCATTTTTAAGCCACTCGTCCGACAGCTGTTAAAACTATTCCAGTGACAGCTCATTATATTGTTTACAAGCATACAAAAGCATTTTGGTGAGAATTTTCCCGAAAAAAAAGTTATTTGCGATGGAATTAAAGCGTGATAGTGTGATTTCTTTAGAGCACTCCAGCATTTAAATGTGAATAAATCGTTTGTGTCTCGTACCATCGCTCGTTACCGTGATACTGGTGGCGTAGCCCGACGTCAAGGAAGTGGACGGAAGAAAACAGCAACATCAGCAGAAATGGTTCGAAAAGAAAAGAAGCAACTCTATCGAGACCCGCGTTGCAGTGGCCGAAAAATGGCTCGTGAGCTGAACATATCGCAATATTCCATTCGGCAAATATTGAAAAATCAGCTCGGGGTAAAGCCATTGAAAT